CTTATGCAGGTAGTCCAACAGGCATGTCTTGCGCGTACAATGAAGTCTCTAGAAATCGATGTCTGTTGCGTATCGGAGACACGAATTAATCATTTCTGCTTATGCGCCAACCAACTGCAGTCGTGCTTCACAAAAGGACGAATTTTACGACAAACTCGCCAAACTGATTCGGTTGAGCCGCAACTCTGAGATTATAGTGCTGGCAGGTGATTTCAACGCACAGGTTGGAAAACTGAGTGCATCCGAGGCCTGTCTAGGAGGGCACTTCGCCCTTCCGGCCGAACGAACAGTCAACGGTGATCGACTACTTCAGTTCTGCGCGGATCACCGGCTGTTCTTATCTAGCACCAACTTTCGACACAGCTCTCGTGGAACGGCCACATGGTGTTCTAGTTTAACGGGCACATTGACCCAAATTGACCACATGGCTGTAAGCTACCGTCGGCGTGGCCCAGTACAAACTTGCAGATTCTATTGGTCCACCTGAGTTGAGCCGGATCATGCACTAGTTCTGTTACGCTTCACTCTTCGACTCATTGGTCATCCGCTGAAATCGAGTCCCCAATTAGCTTACCATCGTCTGCGCGTGTTATGAGGAGCTGGGACAGGAGCTAGGAGAACCGCGACATAGTGGAGTAGACCAACAGTGGAATTAGATTAGATTTGCGATGCACTCGGCTGCAAACTTTGTTTGTGGGATTGAGCCCGAAGTTCCCCGAAGGCGTTGGATCTCTCAGGAGTCAGTAATCATATTGGATCAAAAGCGAAAGATCCCAATCTGCCAGGATCGACGTAGGGACCGGTGTCGCCTGCAACGTCAACTCAGAAATAGCCTTGAGAAAGACCGTGAAAATTGGTGGGCCGAAATAGCTAGTCAAATGAAGGTAGCTTCTGAATCAGGGAATGGTCAAAGGCTATTTCACCTGATACGTAGCACCGGGGGTCGTCGCATACCGGTCAATGAGAGCATTTGCGATAAACGTTTCGGCTTCAATTCAGTTTGTACAATCATGAACTATGCACTATCGTGCGCCGGTTTCGGTTACCATCTTTCGGCTGCCTATTTATATAAACAGGAGAACGATAGCAAAAGTTGAAAGAAGGATCGAAGAGAAAACTGAAAAGTTCAGTGGAGTTAGGATACAGAAAAATTGAGATGCACGAACGCCACTGTTTGCGACACCCAGCTATATCACTCAGTGTCTCTAACCGTCGGTGACCATCATCCCGAGGTCCCCAGCCAGGGAGCCTAACGGGGCCTATGTGACCTAGTCTCCTGGTTAGGGTTTTCATACC